GGGTCCTGCTCTGTTCTTACGATCAATTGGCAAACAGGATTACGACCGGCTGCGGCCTCTCAGCTACCCACAAACGGACGTGTTCCTTGTGTGCTTCAGTCTCACCCATAGGGGCTCGTTTGAAAATGTCAGATCTAAGGTACACATACACCACCGCATCTTCCACGTTGCTGTTCGCTCAATGACGTTGTGTGTGTGTGGTTGCTTGTGGGCAGTGGGTGCCCGAGATTGCACACCATTGTCCTGGCACGCCGTTCATTCTTGCCGGCACCAAGCTCGACCTGCTGTCGGGCGAGAGTGAAAGCAGCGTGAGCACCCTCAAGGTGCTTGCTGACAAGAAGATGCCTCCTGTCTCCTTTGAAGAGGTGCCCTACGTCCCTCTCTTCTCCACCAGACATGCCTGGAGGTCATTCACGCTGTTTACTCACAGTACGACTGTGTGATGGGAACAACAGGGTACCAAGATGGCGCAGGAGCTGGGCGCCACTGGGTTCATCTCGTACTCATCGCTCACGCAAACCAACCTCAAGCTCCTTTTCGATGAGTGCATCAAGGCTGCACTCCGTGGTGGGCCTGGGCCTGCGCCGCAGGCTGGCAGGGGAGGTTGTATCATGAGCTAAAGGTGGTTCTTTCCGACAACCCTGAGCCAAGTGTGCCCAGCAACTGACCTCCGCCATCCCTCGCTGGGCGGTTGACCTTGCCGCCATCGCGGTCCACAGTCACCCCGGACTCCTCGCGGACTTGCTTGAGCGCCTGTGGCCGGCATGCCCTCGGTGCAGCACCTGCCCGACCTGGCCAAGGTGAAGAAGGCCGAGCAAGAAGACGAGAACGACCCCCTGCCCAATCTCGATTCGCTCCAGTTTGCCGGCTGAGAGCTCTTGGGGTGGCGAGTGAGATGATGGCCTCCCCCAACCTCTCCTTTTTGAATGACATACTTGCTTTTTGCAAGCCCGATCGAGCAGTTGATTGGTCCTCTCGTCGAAGAAACTACACCACTTTCCTTAAAGGTCACAACTCGTTCCAAGAGGTGATAGGAGAGGACAACGCCTGCGTGCTGATTACCTTTGTTTTGGACCAATCAGGCAAGGCGGAATTCCGTCAGGCTAGGATTGGCCGAGCACTCTGCCTTTTTTTTTCTGACCAATCGCTTGGTTGTTCAACTTCCAGAACGCTGACGGTTTCGGCAGTTTGGCATGGGTGCCTGCACAGGGCCAGACGTCGACTGACTGGCCCGCAAACCGCTGGCCCGGTCAGTTCAATACCTACCCTCAGCATCTTGAGGAGACAGAGAGAGGAGAGATGAGCAAGAATACGTACTCTGCCCCGGACCTGGATGACATCGAAGCGCCCCAGGCCCTGCAGCGCACCAAGAGTACCTCCTCTGCAACGGAAGACCAAAATCAACGAAGCAGCTGCAGCGATGAGTCGGTCGAGGAGGTGGACGAGAGGGTACTCCTCCTTCTTCGGTACATTTTGCTATCTGCAGGCTAAGACTTGAACATTTTGATCAAGCAGGAGATGAAGATGTTCGGGGAGGACAAAGATAGCGGGGAGGAGGAGGAACACGAGGACCCCAGCACAGTGGACTACTTGGACAAGGAAGATGATGACGACGACAACCCGAACAAGTACTTGCCCAACCCGGAGCCCAAGGTACTTGTTATCCCCTCAGCGGGTGAGCATTCGGCAATTCCTCCGACTTACACGCATTCAACACCGCCACACATGCCAGGGCTCCGTGGCCATGGCTCCGCTGCGATTCGCGTGGCTGACGGTGAGCACGATGGGCATCGTGTACGGCGATATCGGCACCAGCCCGCTCTACACGTGGGCCACGATCCTGTCCGACTTCGAGGACCACCCCTACGAGGAGGAGGACCTGATCGGGGCCATGTGCATCCTCGTCTACAGCCTCATGCTGATCGTGGCGATAAAGTACGCCATCTTCATCCTCATGGCCGACAACCGCGGAGAGGGCGGCATCTTCGCATTGACGTCGCTCGTCCCGCCGACGCGAAAGGACATCAAGACGAAGATGAGCAAGGAGATTCCACGCTACGAGGTGTGGATCAAGCGTATATGCGTGGCCCTGTCCATCATCGGAGCAGGCTTCATCTTCGGCGACGGCGCCATCACTCCAGCAGTTTCAGTCCTGTCCGCCATTGAGGGTACGTGTCTGTGGTGGCGCTGTGCTGTGCGAGCGTGTGTGTGTGCATTTGTGCTCCTCTTGATTCGTAGGAAGGAAGCTGATGTTGCCTTAACAACAGGCTTGGGCGTGGTCAACTCCGATGTGCCCAACTACGAGGTGATCATCGGCCTTACCATCTTATCGATTCTGTTCCTCAGCCAGCCTTTTGGCTCCGGCCAACTTGCCATCTTCCTCGGGCCGATCATGCTCGTCTGGTTCATGTTCATTGGAGGTAACACAGAGACCGTCTCCATGCCCATCACTATTCTTTCTCACTTGCGTGTGCGTGTGAGACACGTCCCATAGCGGTGGGCCTGTACAACATCATCGAGTACAACCCGGGCGTGATGCGGGCGTTCAACCCCTACTGGGGCTACCAGTTCTTCGCACGCAACGGGTTGATCGGCTATAAGGCACTCGGCGGCATCTGCCTCTGCTTCACCGGCGCCGAGGCCCTCTACGCCGACATGGGCCACTTTGGCAAGTGGCCGCTTCGTGCCGGTGTCTACTTCGTGGTCCTGCCCAGCGTCTCCTTGAGCTATTTTGGCCAGGTAATGTTAACCCTCAACCCTCCATGGTGAGGTGCTGATGTCGCCTTCTCCTTTTCTTTGTTCAGTTGGCCTATCTCCTCCGCTTCCCCAATGCGGCGAGCAGTCCATTCTTCGAGTCCGTGCCGTCGGAGGTGTTCTGGCCGGTGATGGTGGTGGCCACAATGGCGGCCATCATCGCCTCGCAGGCCATGATCAGCGGCACCTTTTCCCTCATCTCCCAGGGTATGGGCCTCGGCACGATCCCGCCCATGACCCTCACTCACACCAGCAAGCGAATGCACGGCCAGGTCTACGCCCCGGTGGGCAACTGGATCCTCATGGCCACCACGCTCGGTCTCATCCTGTTCTTCCAGAGCTCAAGCGCCCTGGCCGCAGCCTACGGCATCGCGGTGACGGGCACCCTGGCCATAACAACGCTCATCTTCATGGCCATGGTCGTGCTGCGGTGGAAGTGGAGCGCCTTCGTGGTCGTCCCCGTGTGCCTCTTCTTCTTCGCCATCGAGATGATCTACTTCAGCGCCAACATGACCAAGTTTCCCAACGGCGGCTGGGTGGCGTTGCTTCTCGCCGCGGCCACGATCATCTTCATGGGCTCGTGGAAACTGGGACAGTCTGACGTCAGCCGCACCATCGCCGCCAAGAGGCACAAGAAGACCATCCGCGATGTCATTCGTACGTGTGCCATCATCGCTCGAGTGATTGTCTCACTGTCCTCATCATCGATCGGCACCCACAACAGGGTGGGCGTCGGATCCGAACGTTCCACGCATCCCGTGCACGGGCGTTTTCCTGGGCGGAGGCGACGAAGACTGCGAAGGTGTGCCCAAGGCGGTACTGCAGCACATGAAGGTCCACCGTTACCTGCCCACCACGGTGATCCTGGTGGTGAGCAAGACCATCGACCTGCCTCAAGTCAGAAGTGAAGCGCGCCTGTCTTGCCGTGCCCTCTGCCCCGGCCTCATCAAGCTGACGGCTAGGTAACACTTCCCTACACCTTGCTCCTTCAAGAATGTAACTCACTCGAATCGTCATTATGTTGTTGTCTGTCTTGTGTGCACTCGTGGCATGTCATGTCGCATCTATTGTGTGCGTGCGCGTGTCGTGGATGGCATGTGTAATGCAACAGACGTGGATACATCGAGAGTCGCAGCGATGTGGGCGAGATGTTGCAGCAAGCTGAGGCCCAGGGCTTACTGAAGCCTGATCCGCAATCGCCTCACTACCACTACTTCATCGCCCGCCAGAGTCTGCAGCTGCGCGAGTCTCGCCGCGTGTGGTCTCGCATCAGGTACACTCCAGTTGTGCTCAGCATTTCCCTCTGATTTCTAACAATTGTGTGCGTCTGTGCCATTGACACACAGGTTGTCGATCTACAACTTCATGGTGATGAATGCGCGGCCTCCAGCGTGTCAATCCCTGATCATCCCCAAGCAGGGCTTGATCGAGTATCACTCCAGCCTCCTCATCAGCAAGCCTCTGCCCGGAGACAACCTCGTCAGTCGTTTCGTCAATCGAAAGCCGACTAACGGCAGCGTACCCATGTGACTAGCAGCCCAATGCAGTACTCCCTGGCTTTTGGGCCATTTTTTGCCAAGGACGGCGTCAAGAGCATTCTCTTTTGTGAATGAGTCTTGCTGCGTCAAGCTCAGCACCTTGTACACCATCTGTCATGTCAACAAGACGCAAGTTCCGCAATCAAAGGTCACAGGATTGGCCTGTGCCACCCTGCCTGGCAACACCACGTCCAGCCACATCAGCGGGCCCCTGCCCAACTCTGAGCTCAAGCTCATCCACGTGCCCCGACATGGTTCACCCCTTCTCAGCCTTCTGGTTGCATTCAAGTGGCCGCGCCTTCTGATTGGCACACATTGTGCCGCGTATCTAATCTATTTGGTCAATTGATCAATAGAATTACTTCCCCATGGACAAGCCCAACCCAAGCGGTGAGATCTGCTTCCACGGCCCTGCCGTGTTCTCTGGCTACTACTGCAACCTGGAGAAGATGTATGTGGCAACTGTGGCCATGATCTGCTCATGTCTTCCCATCCACAACATTATCATGACAGGAAGACCACTCTGTATGTTTAAATCCTTTTATATTTATTTCCATAAAAAAATAAAGGATTTAAACACGTCCTCATATGTCAGTCTTCCTCCTCTGAGACTGCTGCTATCGCTGTGGGGAACACCACTTCACCACCCGGCGGCCCACGAGCATTGACTTGGCATCCACTGGCGCTTACAAATTTTCATTTCCTCTGTGATGCAGTGCTCAAACAATGCTGTCAATATTCATGAATACCATGAATGCAGTGAACAACGTTGGCTGGTACGCCAAATACACAGGTAAGCAATCCACCTCCTCTACAGGGTGTGTGGTGTGTTCATGTTACACTCTACGGATGTGGGGTTCCATTTTCCAACAGTGGAGCTCAGAGGCTGGGTTGCATCTGGTTGATAGTGGAGTGCAGTGAGCTCTTGAAGCAGTATCTCTGCAAGCTTCTGGTATGACTTTGTCTCTATGATGAATCCTTTGGTGATCTTGCATGACAGGACTTGTTGGTTGGTTGATGTTGTTTTGTTGTGCTGGTGATGATGATTGGCTATCTATCTCTTTAGGAAATGGTCAAGGCTTGGAGATGGAGCCACAAGGGAGAGAGGGGTCCCTCATGTGCACCATCCTCTGTCACTGCCCCATCCTCATGGATGTCACACTCTGGTACCCCTCCATCTGGTGCTGCTTTGACCTGCTCATGCCTAGGCGTGCACTCTGTGTGGTGAATTAGTGACTATCTGTGGTTCATGGGTGAGTTGGCTTGCAAGTGGCTCAAGGACCACAAGATGCCACTCCATGCGCTTGACTTGTCTGAGTGCAACCAACTCAGCAATGCGCTCCTCGATCTCCTGCCTGTGTCTGCACATGCGTATGTCCCCCGCAGTTTATGGTGAGGCTAGGGTGGTGTATTCTGACCTCTTGGAGGTGGGGCTGTCATTAGGTGATTGACGTGGTCTTGGTCATGTGTGGCGTTGAGGGACTTCAGCTTCCTGGAGATGTCAGCCGACGACTTGGCCCTTGCACAAATTTCCATGGATATGTGCAAGGTACATTCTATATCGTGCTCACCGCGGTGCTGAGTGTTGAGCGTGTAGTACTCAGTTCTTGTGCGAATGAACGTGCGCACCAGGTGTTGATTGGTGGCAGTGTGGGTATCCCAGCCCTGACGACATTTGTGGGCAGCTGCCAAGGACTGACCTGCCTCTCGCTCAAGGTAAAGTAGACACACACACACACTCTCTCCTCTCTCTCTCTCTCTCTCTAGTAGAGGCGTCGCTCTTTGGCTGCGTCGGCTGGTGAGAGGGACAGCGAAACCGGCACAGGTAGCGCCAGTGGCACGTCGTTCGTTATCAAACCACCACTTCCGCCTGCGCCTGGTGGTTGTGGTGGTGGTACCATTATGAGCGCGGGCGTAACGTAATCCTAGGCGAAAAGGGACTAACGACGAAAAGTGGGTACCGGGCGGTGCGGGGGCGTGATGATGTTGTCCTCGGATATAAACCCTGTGAAAAGATTTCCTTGTTTTCTTTGTTTCTGTGTTGTTGGGGCGTAGGCGCGTGAGAAAGGTAAGGTGAGTCCCTCGTTCATAACCAGCCAGCCAGACTCGCGAGGGAAGAGAGTACCGAAGCCGCGAGCTGCTCCGGGTGCTTCGCGATGCTGTTGGGGACGTCTTGCGGCGCGCATCTCGCTTGTTTCGTTGCTGCTGTTCCTTTTGCTGGAAGCGCGGCATGTTAGGGTTGTCAACACACACACACACACACACACACACACACGACACGCACAATATAGGAGCACACGCGCATCCCCCTTCCCTCCTAATGGTGATGCTTTGGGGGAGTGGGGGGCGGGAGCTCGTACAAGCTTCTCTTTGAAGGCAGCGGTAACGCTTCGGGTGATGGGAGCGTTGTCGTTGAGCAGGCGCTGCGTGCGGGCAAGCTCCTTCTGCTCTTTCTTGCTGACCTTCCCCATGGGCTGCTGCACCAACACGGGCAGCTTCTTGGGCAGATTACCGTCCACTGCAGTCAACGCGCAAAAAGGCGCGCGTTTAGGTGAGAGAACCTCGCCAAAGGCAGGCGATGAGGGAGGGGAGGGGAGGCCGTACGCGGGACCCATTTGTAGAGCTTGAGGTCGCCGGCCTCGGCGGCCGTTGGCTCCTCGGGCAACAAGCTGAGTTCTTCACCACCACCGTTGTCGGCCTCAGCGTAATCCACCTCTTCCTCTCCTTCATCTTCATCTTCATCTTCATCTTCGTCATCGTCTTCACGATCGCCTTCGGGCCATGTCAGGTGGTTGGTCGTTGTGCCCATCCACCGCCCCGGCGAGTTCGGCCGTGAGGAGTGAGGCGTCGCCTTCATCCGCGCTCCCTAGCATTCCGCTGTCCTCGCCCATGAACTGGTTCAGCATTGCTTCCATATCCTCTGAAATGGCGGCAATGTTTGGAATGGGAATGCAGAGTCGCAGTTTAAAGATGAACGTACCCCCATCGCCAAAAGTGATCTCGCCTTGGGCCTCCCCCACAAAATCATCAGTCACTCGGTTCCATCGGGTGTGTTTGGCTTGATAAATGAAAAGGGAAAAGGAAGATGAATGAAATTGATCTGGAGAAAAGAGTTGATTCTGTTTCCTAATGGCCTTTGCCGCACATCATCTCGCGAAGTCAGTCGAAGATGAACTACGAGCAGACGAAACGGTTCTTGCTGGTACGTTGGTGAGCCAGTGCTCTTATTCGAATCGGACCCTTGCGCTCACTTTAAATTGATTGGTGTGTGGCACAAAATTAGACAAGCCTGCGTCGGGCGGATGCCTCGAATGACCTCGAGAAGGCCAAAACTGCCATCTTGGCCGACCTTAAGGAACTGCAGATCAAGAAGCAGAAGCCCGATCAATCCTCTGCCGCTGCGTCTGCATTAGCCCCAACAACTGCGGCTGCCACAGCGTCTTCGCATAGTACCGACCAAGATGTCAAGGACATTCTCGACTACGCTCTCCAGGTAGTCCTCGCTGAAGTCTGCGTACGTTCCTCCCTTCTCTCCCCCCCCCCGGTTTCATGTGCTTGTGCTGTTGTTTGCGGGTGGAAGAGCCAGGGAGCCCCCTCCAGTCAAGAGCGCCTCCAGGACGATACTTCCTCACCGCTCTCTTTTCTCCTCGTTTGGGTGGCACGATCGTCAGCAACGCCACGACAAGGGCGAGGGTTGCGGTGGCGGTAGCGAGATGGAAGTCGAGGGAACGCCTGCCGCAACAAGTCGCAAGTACGAAGACGTCGGGCTGCTGATCGATATCGCGCTGTGGCTTGGGCGCGAGAAGATGATCGAGTCTGCGGCACCTCTGGAGTTGGTACGCGATTTCTTCCTGTCCCATACGATCGAGGAATGCCAGCAGTTCTTTGCGCTGCTCGAAGATCGCGCCGATCAGCTCTCTCGCGCCATCGTCGGGGATACGCGCGCCAACAATACCCTCCTGCGAGCGCTCTCCGAGGTCCGTAAGCGGCTCTCCCGCACGAACGACCTCGTCTTTGCCGGTCGCATCCTCATGTTCATGGCCTACGCGTTCCCCCTCTCCGACAAGTCAGGTACGCCACGTGCCCTTTCGACTTGCGCAAATACCTTTGCCTCTCACTAAGCTGCTAGCGCGCATCTCCACCAATTCGTGTGTGTGCGTGCGTGCATGCGGTTTGTTCCTTGAACAACAGGCGTCAATCTCAAGGGTGAAGCGAATGTGGCCAACGTCACCACAATGGACAAGGAGCCCAGTCCAGCCCTCGAAGAAACCCCAGAAGACAGTACGTGTGGTGCTCTTCAAGATGCTTAGCTGTTGTTGTTGTTGTTGACTCTCAATTCTGCTCGAGTCGTTCTCATTCTTTTTACCTTTCCTTTTTTCATCAGAGTCGGAACCGCCAGTGGACTGGACATTCTATCAGATGTTCTGGGGGCTGCAGTCGTACTTTTTGAATCCTATCAAGGCCTTCGAAGCCTGGCAGGTCGTCACTGGTCACCTCAACTCTGTCCTTGACCTGTTCAAGCAATATCCCATCTCGGAAGAGGTGCCAACTTCCTTCCTACACTTTTGTTGTTCTCCAAAGAAGAAAAACCTCTCTCACTCCCACACTCTCACACAGGAGGCCAGCGCGGCGAGTTACAGCTACGCCAACCCGCCGGCGGCGAGTGAGTGCTATCTCACGAAGTATCTCACCTCCAGCCGACTCCTGCGCTTGCAGCTGCGCGACCCGTGGTTCCGACGCCACATCATGGTCCAGTTCCTGGTCTTCTTTCAGTCCCTCCGAGTCGTCAGCGAATCCTCCACCGTCGCTCAAAAGCTGACCGAGCAACAGGTACACTTACACTCGCTCTGTGTCGCTCTTGTCGACGCGCTGGCTTGGTGCAATTGCATTGACCCACCCCTCTTCCCTCTCCCTGCAGAAAAATGAGATTGCCGGTTTGACAAAGAAAACCAAAACCTCACTCTGGGAAACCCCGCCCAATGGGATGCACTTCACGAACACCATCTACGCCATCCTCAAGCGCGAAAACAATTGGGTATGTTTTTGCAGTTTGGGTCCCCAATTAGTGACTATGTTCTGCCTAACCCTTCTCGCATCAGTACAGCACTGACAGGACTACTTTGTCCTCATTTGGTTCGCTCGCTTTCTCTAGACGGATTGGAAGAAAGAAGGCTGCCCACCATTCGAAAAGCCCCCGGTAGCACCGCTGGAGCCAGCAGCTGTGCGGGCTGCGCGCGAAGTGCGTTTCAACAAAAAGAAGAAGGGCCTTGCTGCCCTCCTCGAAGGGTAC